TCTTTCTTTCTTTCTTTCTTTCTTTCTTTTTTCTTTCTTTCTCTTTCTCTTTCTTTCCTTTCTCTCTTAAAATCCTGATTTTATAGTCAAATTTAAAGACTATTGTTTTAAAAACCTCCTGTTCATTTCCTTAACACCTTAAAGATTGAAGACCTTTCTTTTTTCTCTCCCTCTCTTTCTTCCTTTCTCTTTTCTCTCTTTTTTTTTTTTTTGTTTTGTTTTGTTTTTCAGACGGAGTTTCGCTCTTGTTACCTAGGCTGGAGTGCAATGGCGCAATCTCGGCCCACCGCAACCTCTGCCTCCTGGGTCCAAGTAATTCTTCTGCCCCAGTCTCTGGAGTAGCTGGGACTACAGGCGCGTGCCACCACGCCCAGCTAATTTTTGTATTTTAGTAGAGATGGGGTTTTACTATGTTGGCCAGGCAGATTACTCCTGACCTCAGGTGATCCACCTGCCTCAGCTGCCCAAAGTGCTGGGATTACAAGCGTGAGCCACCGTATCCGGCCTGAAGAGCTTTCTAATTATACTTTTGGCTTATTCATAGAACAGTAAATACATTTGAAAAAGATGATGAAAACTATAGTTTTAAATCTGTCCTTAATTTATAAAACATGGCATATGATATATGAAAACATAAATACATGAATGAATGTATCCAGATTCCTCGGGAAACACTTTCATAATGAGAGTATATGAATGATTCTAAAACCTGCCTTACACAGCTAGGTAGCTAAGGAACATTTTCCTCAAACCCCAGTATATGGTTCCACAGGTCTCAGTGCTTACCCTTAGACTCAGACCCATCAGTCAAAATATTGACCATCTTTTAAAATAAGTTCCAAATTACAGGAGAAAAATCTGCCTTAACAGGCGCAGCTCAGGGCATTTAAACATTTCTCACAGTATTCTAAGGCCTCCATGTTATCCAGTGGATGATATTTCAATACAATAATGAAACATTCCATATTCCCTCTTATTACCATTCATCACCCAACAGCTGTAAAATCACCAGCTGCTAGGAAAAAGAGAACTAAATCAGTCCTCTACAGCTGCAAAGAGAAAAAAGCTTAAGATCTCTTCACATAATTTCTGGGATTCCAGCAGGCTGGAGTCAAAGTACAGTTTTCCTTGCCACAAAACCCTCAGCCTTGTAAACATGTCAAACAGCACATAAGCTGTGATTTATTTTTGTCATTATTGGCAAAGACGTGTACAAAGGAGAAGAGTAGAGGTGGCTGAGATAATACAATAGAATCATGACAGCAATGTAAGTAGTGTCTACCATATCCAGGGCACAGAGCATCAGATTTTAAATCCTCACCATAACTACAAAAGGTAGATATTATCCTCATTTTATTAGAGAACTGAGGTTTAGTGAATGCTCTCATAAGTCAGATTTAGCTGTGTTTGGCTCCAATACCAGGGTCTTAATCATCACACTGTCTGCCTTCCAGCAAAATGGACAGATGAAAGAAAACTGAACTGGTGAAAAGAAGTGGAATGGATCTGGAGAGAAGGGGAAACATGGGGAAGGTGATGCTGTGTTAAAAGACACAGGAGGGGCCGGGCACTCACGCCTGTAATCCCACCACTTTGGGAGGCCGAGGCAGGCAGATCACTTGAGGTCAGGAATTCGAGACCAGCCTGGCCAACAGGGCAAAACCCCATCTCTACTAAAAATACAAAAATTAGCCAGGCATGGTGGTGCATGCCTGTCGTCCCAGCTACTCGGGAGGCTGAGGCATGAGGATTGCTTGAACCCGGGACAGGGAGGTTGCAGTGAACCAAGATCACGCCACTGCACTCTAGCCTGGGTGACAGAGCGAGACTCTGTTTCAAAAAAAAAAAAAGACACAGGAGGAATGTATTAAGGTAAATGAGGCTCCTGGTTTGTATCTCTTTTCCTATTCTTTTCTCCCAAAGAAAGGAAATGACCCTAAAATCTTATATAGTTGAAGAAATAGGGTGCCATTTCCATTAACTTCCCTAATTTGCTATTGTCAGCCATAAAAAAATTCTAGCCCATAAAATCAGATTTCATTAATTACTCATTTTAGCAACAATATTAGCCACAGATGAATTGGCATAGTCTGTAAAGCAATGGTTTTCAAACTTTAGCAAGCATTAGAACACCTGGAGGGATTGTTAAACATAGATTCTTAGGCCTCATCTCTAGAATTTCTGATTCAGTAGGTCTGGGGTAAGGTTTGAGAATGTGTATTTCTCACAAGTTGCCAGGTAAGGCTGATGGTGCTGGTTCAGGGACCACACTCCACTGCTGCAAATAAAAACTGTGCTAAAAATTTAGATTTGTATGCACATACAGATAAGCTGACCTGCAAAAGAACAGTATTTCTTAAGAAGCTACCTTCCATTCTGCAGGCACAATCAGATTTCAGTTATTCTATAGCTGTATACATAAAATGAATGGTGTCCAGAGACACACAAATGTGGGACAATGAATCTATGCCTATGTTCTTAATAAGGCAAAAGACTACGCTTTCAATGTTCGATACGCTTAGTGAAGCAATCATAGGAATTAAAACATCACATTCAGGCCAGGTGTGGTGGCTCATGCCTGTATTCCCAGCACTTTGGGAGGCTGGGGCAGGCGGATCACCTGAGGTCAGGAGTTCGAGACCAGCCTGACCAACATGGGGAAACTCCTGTCTCTACTAAAAATACAAAATTGGCCGGGCGTAGTGGCACATGCCAATAGTCTCAGCTACTCCAGAGGCTGAGGCAGAAGGATCATTTGAACCAGGGAGGTGGAGGTTGTGGTGAGCCGAGATCATGCCATTGCACTCCAGCCTGGGCAACAAGAGCGAAACTCCATCTCAAAACAAAAAACAAAAACAAAAAAACACATACAAAAGAGGTAACCATTTACAAATTTAATACAAGCTCTTTTCTAATTCAGAAAAAAGTGTAGATAAAAGTCAAATGCACCCAAGCTTGGGGTGGAAAAATCGAAAACCAGAATCATTCACATTTCCAACCATGGTCGCTATTGGTCCAATTGCTTACGGGTTCTTTTTTCTTCTTTTTTCTTTTTTCTAAAGAGACTAGGGACAGCAAGAATTGTCACGGAACTGGATCCCTGGAAGCCAACATAGTCTTGGCCACTTAGGCTGTTTTTTACCCCCTACCTGGCCTTATCCACAGTTTTGGCTTGGCTTAGCTCAATTCAAACACATGCTTAGTAATGGCACTAGGGGCTGCTACATTGCTGCAGAAATTGAAATCAGTATGAAAATGGGATAGAAAGATGTCAGGAAACTAGTACTATTCTAAAAGGAAATTACTTCCAATTTCAAAAGCAGCCTGAGATTAATAAGAAAATGAGGTTTCCATTCCATAGGGTCTTCTAGGATGGAGATGTCTCATTCTAACATCCTTTTGAAATGGAAAAACACTTAACGTATAACCCCCTTTACTTGATTTTCCTGAACCTCTTTACAGGCTGATAATTTTCTTGCTGGCAGTATATTGTATAGAATAGTTGTATTTTAAGACTTCTTCAAAAGTGCCTGTTAACTATGAGTAATTATCCCTTGTTGAATTTGGCAGAACAAAGAGAAACTTCTAGAATTTTTATTTTCAGCCTTAGAAAGTGTTGTTAACTCTGAAAGTTTATATTTAGAGGACTTACTTTAAAAAAAGAAAGTAATACTTTTAAATGCATGCATATGAATTTTTTTTTTTTTTTTTTTTTTTTTTTTTTTGACAGCGTCTTGCTTTGTCACTCAGGCTAGAGTGCAGTGGGACCATCTCGGCTCACTGCAACCTCCGCCTCCCAGGTTCAGGTGATTCTTGTGCCTCAGCCTCTCAAGTAGCTGGGATTACAGGCGCCCACCACTACACCCAGCTAATTTTTGTATTTTTAGTAGAGACGGGGTTTTGCCGTGTTGGCCAGGCTGGTCTGGAACTCTTGACCTCAGGCGATCCACCCGCCTTGGCCTCCCAAAGTGCTGGGACTACAGGTGTGAGCCACTGTGCCTGGCCACCTGAAGTTTTTATAAGGCCCTTGAGAACTCTGGCCCTTTGCTGTGGTTGATCAGAGCCAGTCAGGTAGTCTCATAGGTCCTTCAGTCCACAAATACTGAGGGTCCCCCCGTGCCATGTTGTGGGGGCGTCTGCCATTTTGCTCAGGACTCCACTCTGAGGTGGTCCTGGATGACGTGGATTACAAGAGACAGTTGAGGAAACAAAAGATCTGCATGCTCTCCTTTCATGAATTCGCTAAAATATCATGGCAAAATATTTTGAGCACTCTACCTTACATAAGCTTTCTAGTTCACAGTCTGGTAGGTTGACATGTCTCTAAATATTTCTTATTTTCTGATTGAATCCTACCTGAACCCTGTTAACTGAGATACACTAAATCATAGCACCCTTTATTTGAAGCAATACTGTAGGATTTCAAAGATCTGTCAGCGTCTAGAAACAAGCAGGTATCTGTTGAATGAATGCTGCATTTTCTTCAACTCTGGGAGCCCAGATTAACTTCTACAAGTAATAGTACTGTTTCTGTTTTGGTTACTTTCTGTCCACTCTCCTAGTCATTTTGGTTACCCTGATGCTGCCCCAGCGACTCAGCCCAGCCAGCACTGTCCTGCTGGCTAACTGGATCATGGCTGCTGGTGGTCTATCCTATACTAGGGCTGGGAGAAAGAAGAAAGAATAGGGACGTCTACCCTTTAGGAAATGCAGTAGAATATTCTGCAGCCTTTTCCATTTTATTCATTTTGCTTTGGTTTGCTCAGAATTATCAGAGCAAAATATAAAATCGAAGAATTGGAGTGCTCATCCTTATTTTGTCCTTGTCCAATCCCCATCCATAGTCTCTGGATGTGTACCAACAAGGTGCTTACAGATGAGCCACTCTACCTTTTCTGGAAGTCGGGGAGATAAGGACAGATAAACAATGACACTAATTTTTCATCATCTCCCTATTCCTGTGTTGCTATCATTCAACCAAACACCTACTGAGCACCTACTTCCGGCCCAGGTAATGCACTTGGTCCCAAGGATGCAAAGATCATACAGTTTCTCAGAGAGTTCGCAGTCTCCTGGGGGATGCAGAGAAGTAGAAGTTCAGAGGAAAGCCCAGGAGATGTATGAACCTAGAGGAAAGAGAGTTTAACTCTGCCTTAGGGTGAGGAGGGGGTCAGTCCTCTTCACGGAGGAGAATTTTTATTCGTTCTGCTGGCTGGACAGCAAAGATACCAGGCATAAAATCGAGGTTCTTATTTTTCCCACTTTAAAATCTATTCCACAATGTTCCCCATTTATTGTCAAAGCTGGTTTCAGTGTGATAACACTACTAATATGATTATGCCATCCTCTCGCTCCTACTCACTTTATACTTTATATCTGAAGGTCACAGTACTAAAAACTGGCATGGGTGTTTTCCAAGGAATCTGGTTATCATGCTTGACTATAACACTAAAACCGAAGATTAAAAGACAAGTTAATAGGCACTTTATAGGATGGGTATGGAGTTGGAGCTGTAATGGGCAGAGGAAAAAATTAGCAGCACTGTGTTAAGCATATACCAACCAATGCCCAAAGCTGATGGTAACTTATGATTTGTTTTTCTTAGGGTAGGACTTGTTTCACCTACCATGTGGAATGTTCCTGGGGCCTTGACAGGTCTGAAGCCATGAACAGGTATGCATTGATCAGCGTGGCCATTGCAGAAGCAGCTGCCCTTGACAATGAAATCATAGATTGCATAGTGTGTAAAATGTTGAGGCTCTTCATTCAGGTCATTTCTCTGACAGGGACAAGACTGTCGTTTTAGCAACTGCACGCGAAGGTTGGTGATCTTCAGCTGCTCCTGAACTTTGACACTGTAAGGGTTCTCTGTATCGTATGGTGGTGACAAAGCTTTGAAAATAACCTGTAAAGAGAAAGAAAATACCATGCATTTATAGGACTGTGTGCAAACCCTGAATTGTTTGCCTAATGTAGCCCCTGTTTGATTTATGCCTTATGTCATCTGTGAACGATAAGATAACAAGAAGTTTTTAGACCTTGAGCACACCTGGGAAAGAGCTGCCGTGTTATTCTAAGGAGCAGATGTGCTGCCTGTTCGTACACAGAAGTATACATTGAGTGACCAGCAGAGACCTGATTCTTGAGATAAAGGCAGCCATACAAAGATCTTGCCAGGAAGAGCATTCTGGGCAGAAGGAAGAGCAAGCTTAAAGGCTTTGAGGCAGGGTCAAGCTTGGCTTGTTCAAGGAAGAACAACAAAGTCAGTGTGACTGGAGACCAGTGAACAAAGAGACAGTGGCTGGAGAGGTAGACAGAGCAGGTGTGAGATCAACATGAATGGAGCCCTGTGGAAGTCACAGTACAGTTATACTGACTACAGCGGAAGCCACTGGGACACTGTAGGCAGAGAGGTGATATCTGATTTACCTTGCCTAGAAATATCACTCTCTCTTTTTGGATATAAAAGTATCACCTTAGAGATCAATTTCACACCAAAAGTATGAAAAGGAAAGAATCGACCGTGTAGATCACATCTCTAAGGTCTACTGGTACAGACCTGTCCTCAATGAAATGTAACTTTGGAGGAGAGGGTAAGGGTAATAATTCAGCAGACATTTGGCCTCTGCAGCCCATTGTCCAGCCAGTAGCCAGAGTGGTTCTCTATAAACAGAGATTGGATCATGTCACTCCCTTGCTTAAACCACTCCCACCAGAAGACCTCCCATTTTCCCCAGAACAAGATACAAAGTCCTTATAATGGCTCTGCCTGGTTTTTGTTCTTAGTACTTATCACCATCTGACATTCTATTTGTAGTGGTTTAGTGATTTACTGTCTTCCCAATCCAGACCATAAACTTCATGTAGGCGGTCACGGATGTATCCTAGGACAGTGGCTGGCACATAGTAAGTATTCAATAAATTTTTGGTAAACAAATTAATTAATTTAACATTGTTCTTGGCATTTGTGTAATAGGTGAGAATTCCAGATAACTTCCTTACGTCAGGTCCTAAATTCATTCACATACTTAATGTCGTGTTATAGCGCCAGTATCATGACAATAGTAAGAAATAACTGAATAATTAATCGGTATTTGTATTTCTAGCTATTTTTGAACTTTTAAAGCTTAAAAAATGTTGTATCTTAAACTCAAATCACATTCTGTCCCATTTATCCATATGCAAAGTGGTGGAAGGAAGCTTATTAGAAAATAAAATTGTCCAACAAACAATATGTCATATATTCAAAAGTCAGTACAGAAGTAACATCTTTTTCTTTTAACAACAGCCTGAACTAGAACCTGATTTTCTGTTTTGAAACATTTTTAAAAAATTGAATCCATTATGGGCTTTCATATGGTACTTATTCTCAATATGACCTCCAAACACTGGCATTTCTGTTGGACACTCAGGAAGAACCCTTGCTCTAAATGATATCAACAATGTACTACCTCCTATTTTACCAACCACAGTAATGCAAGGACACGGAAAAGGACACACCACTGCTAACCAAGTAGGTGCTCCATTGAAAAGTCTGTGGTATCCTTCTCCTCATTATCTGCCCACCCTTCCTTTTCCTGAACCTTGGTGGCAACTGTTTGGTCTCTCTCTCTCTGCCACGTATTTACCCTTGACATTTACCCTAGTTCCCTCTCTCACCCCATTCCATCTCCCCCTCACCCTGAGAATTGTTCTGCACAGGCAAAGCCAGAGGAAGCTCTGTCAAGGTCCATAGGAACTTTGAAGCTCTTCTGCTTCCTGAGCCCAGACAGTGGGAGCTGAATGGCGGCTCTGTGCTTGGTGTGCATGACACCACAGTTGGCACGCGGATATCAGCAGGGAAGGGACATCATGACCCCTGAGGCTGTGTGCTGGAAAGGAGACAGCAGAGTGCCACAGACACAAAAGTGAACGGGAATTTAAACCATGAAATCTTTTTTCCAGAAAGGAGACGCCTTAATCTGATACCCTGGGAATGGATCTACCCTGCGTCAGGAAACAAAGAAGTGCGCCAATCCAGATGCTTCCAACTTCTGGCAGGTCGCCCTTTGGGTCCCACCCAGTTTTTCTTCAAACTTCCCCAGAAGAAGCCTGTATGGCATGACTGAAATGAAGTAAGAAAACACGTAGAAGCCCTCAGGACAGTATCAGCCTCTTCTATTTTTTGTTCCCATAAGGAAGGGAATGTATCTATAGGCCCACCACTGATCCTCTGTCTGCAACTGCCTCTTAATACACACTCCCAACAAGATATATTAATATTTAGAAAGCCAGGGATCAAGCTTTTTGACCAGGTTCAAGCATACTTCAGTATTTCTGGCTTGTTAGTGCCAGGACTTCATGATCTCATTTTTTAATTTAGAAATTTTATTATGTTTTGGTGGTTAATATTATACTCATTACAGAAAAATCTGTCAGGCAAAATACTAAGGATAATAAGTACCTACAATATGATCTACCTCCAAAGAGAACCAGGGAGGCCAACTTGCTATCTTTCTACCTAAACTTCCGTACGTACGCATATATATAAAATACAACATAAACATCTTTATATATCTTGTGAGTATTCTTCCAACTCAATAACTGTATCTCTACATCAGAGGTTCTCAGAGAGTGGTTCCCCAGACCAACAGCACCCCTAGGGAACTTGTTAGAGACGCAAATTCTTGGACCCTATCCAAGATCAACGGAATCAGAAACTCTGCAGGTGGGGCCCAGCAATCTGTGTTCCAACAAGCCTTCCAGGTGATTCTGATACATAACAAAATTTGAGAAACACCGTTACATAATTTAAAAACCTGCTTAGAATTACAGTGTGTGGATGTGACATAATTTATTTAGCCAGGCTGCTATTGTTAGGCAACTAGGTTGCTTCCAACTTCAGTGTAACCCACTGCAGGGAACAACCTTGTAGCTACAATGTGGATGTATAGACAGTAGTCAGCCCTTATCCTCGGGGAATGACTTCCAAGACCCCCAGGGGATGCCTGAAACTGCAGATAGTACTGAACTCATAGAGACTATGTTTCTCCTATACGTATATACCCATGATAAAGTTTAATTTATAAATTAGGCTCAGTAAGAGATTAACAACAATAACAAATAATAGAACAATTATAACAATATACTGTAATAAAAGTTATGTAAATGTGGTCTCTCTCTCTCTCTCAAAATATTTATTGTACTCACCTATTTTTGGACCATGGTTGATGGTTACTGAAACTGTGGTAAGCGAAACTGCACATAAGGGAGGACTGTAATAATTTCCTGAAGATACATTTCCAAAGCTGAAATCAATGGGTAAAGGAAATGCATAATTTAAAAAATATCTGACCCTCTGAATGAATCATGGACCCCTTCCTACTTAACCTTTGGAATCTTCACATTTTCCTGGTCTTGCCTTATTTCTCTAAGCCTCAAATCCCTTGAACTTTGCCTGAGGATGGGGATTCTTGGCTCAGGTTCTGCCATTTCTCTGTGCCCCAGTGTGACACAGAAATCCTTACAAAGTCCTGAACAAGTGAAAATGACTTATATGATCTTTCTATTCTAGAACACTCATAAAAAATTCTCAATAAGAAGATGGAAAATTAGGTCAGGTGCGGTGGCTCATGCCTGTCATGCCAGTACTTTGGGAGGCCAAGGTGGGTGGATCACGACGTCAGGAGTTTGAGACCAGCCTGGTCAACATGGTGAAACCCCATCTCTACTAAAAATACAAAAATTAGCCAGGCAGGATAGCGGGGAAAAAAAAAGCATTCTATATGTCTTAATTATACTTTGAGATGAAAATTTAAACAGAGCATCAGTACAGTGTGAACAGAATAAGGAGTAAATATTAGGTAAATATTAGTCAAGGAATTCTTTGAGAATCGAACTCATACCTTAACATATTGCTCCATGCCTAACATTATATTGCCTACGTTGAATTATAAAAATTTGTAATAATAAATGTGATCATATTTTTAAAAAGTCTTTTTAGCTGCTAGCTTGAGGAATATTCCAAGGCCGTCCTGTGGACTCCCTTGGAACTCGTTCCTTCCATGATGGCACGCTTACACTGGTCTATTGTTGTTGCCTATTTACTTGTCTGTATCTCACATCAGACTCAGTGCTCAGAGGGCAGGGATCCTGTTGGTCTGGTTCACAACTGTGCTCCCCAGCACGTCCCACAGTCTCTGGCACACTGTAGCATTTCATAATGACTGCCGAATGAATAAATGAATGAACTATTTCTCCAAGTATCATTGTAAGAGGAAAAGCCAAACAGGGTCTAGAGTTTAGAAGAACATAGATAGCAAGATGCTCTTACCACAAGTTCCGCACTCTTGATGAGAACAATGTGAACACACACATCTATGTATAAACACTATATAAAAATATGTAATACATTTCAAAATGCTTTATGGATTTCTTCTGTATAGTAGCACACAAGATCTTTCATATTCTTAAGAAAAAGGATCAGGCAGGCATAGCAAACACTCCAAGAAATACAAATTTTTCCCATAGTTTCTGATCTAGTTTTCTTATTTACTAAAAACAGCAACTTCAGGAACATAACTGCATTTGTTCTTTAATAGTCCTTGAAATACTAGACATCTTCAAGTTCTTAAAGAAGCAGCTTTTTGTTTTAATGATTTTCTCCATCGTTTTTCTGTTTTTCTTTTTCATTGGTTTCTAATTTTATCTTTATTATTTACTTTCTTCTGCTTACTTTGGGTTTAATGTGCTCTTCTTTTACAAGTTTCTTAAAGGGAAAACTTAGATCATTGATTTGACTTTTTAAAAATAATTCACTGCTTATTTTACCTTTAAGCTCTGTTGGACTTGAAGATCATTGATTTGAGATGTTTCTTTTCCCCTAAGTACTTCTTTAGTTGCATCCCCCCAGAGTTTGATATGCTA